TACATACATACATACATATATGCAGAAAGCATCTATACACCACCACAGTGCCAGGCCAGGGCCATCCTGGGCCCCAGGATGGTGCATGCGCCATCCTGGCCGAGGCCAGGAGGGTCTATACACCATCATGGGGCCCAGGATGGCCCTGGCCTGGCACGGTGGTGGTGTATAGATGCCTGCCTTCGCCGGATATATATATATATATATATATATATAATATATATATATATATATATATATATACACACACACTTTTATCGGGCCGGGGGCCCTGGACAGAACCCGGACGGAGCCCCCCCCAAACAAAAAAACTAATTTCGGGCTCCCCCTAGATTTTCGCGCGGTCCCAGAGGCGCCCGAGACGGCCCGAAATACTCCCAAGAGGGGTCCACGAGCGCTCCAAGACAGCCCAAGAGCGCCCCAAGAAACCCCAAGACCGCCCAAGACCGTCCAAGGGGGCCCCGAGACGCCCCAAGAGGCCTCCAAAAGGCTTCCCAAGAGGGCCCCAAGAGGGAAATGGAATTGATTTTTGCATGGTTTTCGCAGGTTTTCCCGGTTCTCCCGTTTTCGGGCCAACGCCCACCCGAACCGGCCCACGAGGCCCCAAAGATCGCCCAACAGTCCCCCCCAAAAAAAACCCGAAAACGATCCAAGAGAGTCCCAAGACAGCCCAAAAGGGCTCCAAGACGGGCCCAAGAGAGCCCCAAGAGCGCCCAATAAGGCACCCAAGAGGGCCCCAAGACGCCGCCAGGAGAGCCCCACGACGGCCAAAGGCCTCCAAGACGCCCCAAGACGGCCCAAAAGGGCCCCGAGACAACCCAAGAGAACCCCGACAGGGCCCTAAAAGGGAGCCAAAAGGGCCCCACGACAACTCCCAAGTGGCACGGTAACGCGATTGCGGCGGCGCTCGCGATGGCAGCGGTCTGCCCTTCTCATTCTCCCTTTTCGTATGTCGTCGCCTTCGTCGTCGTCGTCGTCGACGTCGTCGTTGTCGTCGCTTTCGTCGTCGTCGTCGTCGTCACCGTCGTTGTCGTCGCTTTCGTCGTCGTCGTCGTCATTTTCATTGTCATCGTCGTCGTCATCGCGGACGTCGTCGTCGTCGTCGTCGCCGTCGTCGTCGTCCTCGTCGCCCCTGTCTCGACCGGCCCGCCGGCTCGGCCGGCCCGCCGGTTCACATCGGCTCGGCTCGGGCTGGCGGCGAAAGAGCGGGAAATGAAGGATGAGGGAAGCAAAAGATTGGGAATGGAGAACACTGCCAGATCGACAACCACGAAAACGGAAACAAGGCGTTATCGTTTTCTTTAACTATGTACATGTATGTAATCCGGCCTGCTTGCTCAACTTGGAAGACCATGGTAGTCTGGCCAAGTTCGCCTGAAACCCTCGCACCTTTGAGTTGCGAGATGCCCGGAGCAGCTGGTCAGGCCATTACCGCCTGAGATACGCAGTGTATGCGCACACCTAATTACACAGACCATTTGCATATACATGTACATACCCATACATACGTATATTAAATGTATATATGTGGTATGTTTCCATAGGCGCATGTGCGCATGTACGCACGCACGCACTCCGCTAACGTGCGAAACTCTAGAAAAGACCAAGGTGCATGGCGCGCAGCGTCATTGCTGTCTTGTGTGTATATATATATATATATATATATATATAGCGCTCCAGGGCCTTCCGAGACGGCGCCAGACGCCCCAGGCTTCCCCGAGCTTCGCTCCTGGAACAAGGGCGCCCCACCTCGCGCCCGCGCGGAGCGCGTAGCGCGGATCACCTCGCGCTCTCGCGCCGCCCCCCAAGGGAGCAGAGGAGGACGAGGAGGAATCGGAGTCGGACCGCGAAGCGCGAAGATCTTCGCGCCCTCGTGGAACCTCGATTTTCAAGAGGAGCTAGTGGCCCTCCTCATGATGACCCCCCCCTGACCCTGAGGCCCGGGAACCTCGCCGAGTCTCAGGGAACAAATGATAGGTTGTATGTGCTGCGCCGTGCTGTGCGATGCTTGCTATGCCAACTCCTGGTCGCAAAGCTGACAGGGTGGAATAGCAGAATCCAAAACAAATTCTAAGCCGGACCGCGGCGGGATCATGATTTTCCAATCTCCAGCGAGCAGATGTGGTGAACTTGCGTGTGAACGCTGAATTGTCTGTGCCTGGCAGACTGGTCCACGTCTGGCCAGACGCTGGACGCTGTCCCAAGTCTGCACATTCAAGTTGCATCTTGCCGATGCCTAGCAAACTGGTACTTTAGCGTCCGATGTGCCAGGGAGAAGAGAAGAGTGCATACGTAGCAATGGGTGATAATGAAGGGGAGGGGAAGAGGGATGCTCCATCCTCACTCCGCCGTGGCGGTGCTTGGCAGAATCGGTACTTAAACGTCCCTAGCAGAAGTATCGCGCAATGAACCATCATTGGATGCCTCAACAAAATATTTACAAAAGAATCGCGGCCCTGGAACAAGTGGAGGGCGGAGGGTGGAGTACAGTAGGAGCTCGACCGCAAGAAAGCTTCCACAAGAAACCCAACCCTGAGACCCCATGACGCCAATTGGTTTTGGGTTTGGGAACGTCACTCTTTCGATCGCAAAACCATCGAAACTCAAGAAACCCAGGGCACCCTGGAGGCAAGCAGGGTATTTTTTGGCATGGGTCTCCACTGTAAAAAGATCAAGGGGGCGAGGCTCTGTCGTCGTCCCGTCGTTGTGTCGTGCCTCTTCAGATTCGTCGAGGCAGGAACGAATACCGGATGGGAGGGGGAGGTGAAACACCTCCTCCCGCCATGCAAACATGACCACGGACAATTAATGAATTGGCAAATCACGAGAACCACGATGCACGTGAACTTTTGCCAGCCTCCAAGGGCCGTCACCAGGCTCCAGGACGGTCAACGAAAACGACTCAGGATGGAAACCCAATTCAGGTCGGGGATGCACTGACCTGGGTCAATGCAAACCGGGGTGAGTCGGGCTTTGCAGGATCCTGCAAAGTCCTGCAGGATCCTGCGCGCTAGCCCAGGTCAATGCAGCCCTGGCTCTACAAGATCCTGCAGGACCTGGCGCTCTTGCTGACCCCCGTTTGCATTGACCCCCGTCGCTTACAGCTCGATCAGGGGAAATGTCCAGACCACTGGGGGATCACCTTGCGAAAAAAGATCGCGACGTCGGAGCTCTGGGCCATCCAATGACGGAATTTCCCGAGTCCCCTTCGAAGCTTGTGCCACCGCTCTGGAGCCGGGGGACTCCGTTCCGCTTCGGCACCTGCCCCTCCACACCCCGAGGCACTCCTTCTCCTAATCCTCCTCATCAGCGCTATGCGCGCTGCCGCAGCAGCGGGCGGCGCTAAGGTGCGCGCAGCGCTGAGATGAAAATGGATGAGCCCGCAGCTGGGGGCGGCACTGGATAAGCGCAGCGGCGAGCAGCGACTTGGCCCCTTCCTGTCGAAGCGCGCAATGGAAGCGCCTTCCGACGAAGGCCTGCCTTAGGCCGCGACTCGAGCCGCGCAGACAAAACATCCCACCAATCGGGGCTCTCACCAAGGTGCCGTCTCTCCGTCCTCCGTCTCACTTTCATTCCCCCCACCTCGGTTGCCGCTGTCCGCTGTCCCATCCGTGTGCTGTGCAAGCTGTTGGTACTTTACCTTCTGCACTCGTGCAGTCTGGTGCCCCGGTTGGCCGAATTCGTCGGGGCAAAGCGATGGGCAGAGAGGAGGCCACGAGAAGCAGCAGACAGCACGTGGCCACGCGGAACCTGCTCCTGTCGGGGCCGGCGGAGGGGGCGGGGACGAGCGGTGCGCAGGCAGGATGACAGCATGGGCAACGCTGACCATGACAACTCCAGCACCTGAATGACGCAGGCAACTGTCGGGCGCCAGCCTTCAAACTGAAGCCGATGCCGTACGATCCGCGCAGAGCACTGCAGAATGACTGAGAGGGAGAAGACTGAGGAGTTGGCCCTTGGTATTGAGGACTTGGTCTGCAGACGATGTTCGGATGCAAAGAGAAAGCCAGAAGAGCGTGTTCAAACAGTTCTTGCCATCGAGGCGACGTTCAGCGGGCGCAGCAGGGCCAGTGCCACGAATTGTCCGATCGAGGCCACATCTCGGAACTCACAGGGCAGGATGGCCTGCCAGAAGCGCCGACCATGGATGGGGCAAATGGACTTGCTAAAAAGTCCCGCGCGGTGGGCCTCTGCGGTTTGCCCCGGGGTAGTGAGGTGTAGCGGCCACCGGCCACAGGCGGGGGAGCTGTGTTCCCAAGCCCCCCTGGGGGGGGCCCATCGTCTAGGGGCACCCAGTATTTTGCCAACAGGACCCTCGGAACAGGAGCGGAGCCCCGGTGTGGGCCTGCGCCGCGCCGAGGTGCACAATGGGGTGCCAGGGGGAGCATCCGCAGAAGGACCTCAGGGGCATCGAGCCCCTTTCGAAGACGAGGTGCACCTTCATCTGAACCACTGACTGCAGAGACCCCAGCTCCCCGGAATGTGGCTGGTCTGGTGGATGGGCGCACACTGCACAGCAATGTCGCGCGACGCCGTGTGCAGCTCGAGCTGCCGGACGACGCGGCCCCAGAAGGAGGGGAGGACGGAGAGGAGACCAGATCTTGGAGCACGACGAAAACTAGCGAGCGACCAACGTGTCCATATCCACGTCCTCGCGGTCTGGATATCGAGGCGCGATCCCATGGATGTGCGCTCCCATGGATACGTTCCACGCGGGGCATCCGAGCAGAGCCGCCCTGAAGCCACGGGCTCGCGGCCGATGAGTCCGGAGCGCGAGAGCATGGCTGTGGCCACGAGAAGCAGCAGACAGCACGTGGCCACGCGGAACCTGCTCCTGTCGGGGCCGGCGGAGGGGGCGGGGACGAGCGGTGCGCAGGCAGGATGACAGCATGGGCAACGCTGACCATGACAACTCCAGCACCTGAATGATGCAGGCAACTGTCGGGCGCCAGCCTTCAAACTGAAGCCGATGCCGTACGATCCGCGCAGAGCACTGCAGAATGACTGAGAGGGAGAAGACTGAGGAGTTGGCCCTTGGTATTGAGGACTTGGTCTGCAGACGATGTTCGGATGCAAAGAGAAAGCCAGAAGAGCGTGTTCAAACAGTTCTTGCCATCGAGGCGACGTTCAGCGGGCGCAGCAGGGCCAGTGCCACGAATTGTCCGATCGAGGCCACATCTCGGAACTCACAGGGCAGGATGGCCTGCCAGAAGCGCCGACCATGGATGGGGCAGATGGACTTGCTAAAAAGTCCCGCGCGGTGGGCCTCTGCGGTTTGCCCCGGGGTAGTGAGGTGTAGCGGCCACCGGCCACAGGCGGGGGAGCTGTGTTCCCAAGCCCCCCTGGGGGGGGCCCGTCGTCTAGGGGCACCCAGTATTTTGCCAACAGGACCCTCGGAACAGGAGCGGAGCCCCGGTGTGGGCCTGCGCCGCGCCGAGGTGCACAATGGGGTGCCAGGGGGAGCATCCGCAGAAGGACCTCAGGGGCATCGAGCCCCTTTCGAAGACGAGGTGCACCTTCATCTGAACCACTGACTGCAGAGACCCCAGCTCCCCGGAATGTGGCTGGTCTGGTGGATGGGCGCACACTGCACAGCAATGTCGCGCGACGCCGTGTGCAGCTCGAGCTGCCGGACGACGCGGCCCCAGAAGGAGGGGAGGACGGAGAGGAGACCAGATCTTGGAGCACGACGAAAACTAGCGAGCGACCAACGTGTCCATATCCACGTCCTCGCGGTCTGGATATCGAGGCGCGATCCCATGGATGTGCGCTCCCATGGATACGTTCCACGCGGGGCATCCGAGCAGAGCCGCCCTGAAGCCACGGGCTCGCGGCCGATGAGTCCGGAGCGCGAGAGCATGGCTGTGGCCACGAGAAGCAGCAGACAGCACGTGGCCACGCGGAACCTGCTCCTGTCGGGGCCGGCGGAGGGGGCGGGGACGAGCGGTGCGCAGGCAGGATGACAGCATGGGCAACGCTGACCATGACAACTCCAGCACCTGAATGATGCAGGCAACTGTCGGGCGCCAGCCTTCAAACTGAAGCCGATGCCGTACGATCCGCGCAGAGCACTGCAGAATGACTGAGAGGGAGAAGACTGAGGAGTTGGCCCTTGGTATTGAGGACTTGGTCTGCAGACGATGTTCGGATGCAAAGAGAAAGCCAGAAGAGCGTGTTCAAACAGTTCTTGCCATCGAGGCGACGTTCAGCGGGCGCAGCAGGGCCAGTGCCACGAATTGTCCGATCGAGGCCACATCTCGGAACTCACAGGGCAGGATGGCCTGCCAGAAGCGCCGACCATGGATGGGGCAGATGGACTTGCTAAAAAGTCCCGCGCGGTGGGCCTCTGCGGTTTGCCCCGGGGTAGTGAGGTGTAGCGGCCACCGGCCACAGGCGGGGGAGCTGTGTTCCCAAGCCCCCCTGGGGGGGGCCCGTCGTCTAGGGGCACCCAGTATTTTGCCAACAGGACCCTCGGAACAGGAGCGGAGCCCCGGTGTGGGCCTGCGCCGCGCCGAGGTGCACAATGGGGTGCCAGGGGGAGCATCCGCAGAAGGACCTCAGGGGCATCGAGCCCCTTTCGAAGACGAGGTGCACCTTCATCTGAACCACTGACTGCAGAGACCCCAGCTCCCCGGAATGTGGCTGGTCTGGTGGATGGGCGCACACTGCACAGCAATGTCGCGCGACGCCGTGTGCAGCTCGAGCTGCCGGACGACGCGGCCCCAGAAGGAGGGGAGGACGGAGAGGAGACCAGATCTTGGAGCACGACGAAAACTAGCGAGCGACCAACGTGTCCATATCCACGTCCTCGCGGTCTGGATATCGAGGCGCGATCCCATGGATGTGCGCTCCCATGGATACGTTCCACGCGGGGCATCCGAGCAGAGCCGCCCTGAAGCCACGGGCTCGCGGCCGATGAGTCCGGAGCGCGAGAGCATGGCTGTGGCCACGAGAAGCAGCAGACAGCACGTGGCCACGCGGAACCTGCTCCTGTCGGGGCCGGCGGAGGGGGCGGGGACGAGCGGTGCGCAGGCAGGATGACAGCATGGGCAACGCTGACCATGACAACTCCAGCACCTGAATGATGCAGGCAACTGTCGGGCGCCAGCCTTCAAACTGAAGCCGATGCCGTACGATCCGCGCAGAGCACTGCAGAATGACTGAGAGGGAGAAGACTGAGGAGTTGGCCCTTGGTATTGAGGACTTGGTCTGCAGACGATGTTCGGATGCAAAGAGAAAGCCAGAAGAGCGTGTTCAACAGTTCTTGCCATCGAGGCGACGTTCAGCGGGCGCAGCAGGGCCAGTGCCATCGATTGTCCGATCGAGCCCACTCGGACTCACAGGGCATGATGGCCTTCATACGCGCCGACCCATGGATGGGGCAGGATGGACTTGCTAAAAAGTCCCGCGCGGTGGGCCCTCTTGCGGTTTTTGCCACCCGGGGTATTGAGGTGTACGCAACCGGCCACAGGCGGGGGAGCTGTGGTTCCCAAGCCCCCCCTGGGGGGGCCCGTCGTCTAAGGGGACCCATATTTTTGGGGGGACAAGAGGACCCTCGGAACAGGAGCGGAGCCCCGGTGTGGGCCTGCGCCGCGCCGAGGTGCACAATGGGGTGCCAGGGGGAGCATCCGCAGAAGGACCTCAGGGGCATCGAGCCCCTTTCGAAGACGAGGTGCACCTTCATCTGAACCACTGACTGCAGAGACCCCAGCTCCCCGGAATGTGGCTGGTCTGGTGGATGGGCGCACACTGCACAGCAATGTCGCGCGACGCCGTGTGCAGCTCGAGCTGCCGGACGACGCGGCCCCAGAAGGAGGGGAGGACGGAGAGGAGACCAGATCTTGGAGCACGACGAAAACTAGCGAGCGACCAACGTGTCCATATCCACGTCCTCGCGGTCTGGATATCGAGGCGCGATCCCATGGATGTGCGCTCCCATGGATACGTTCCACGCGGGGCATCCGAGCAGAGCCGCCCTGAAGCCACGGGCTCGCGGCCGATGAGTCCGGAGCGCGAGAGCATGGCTGTGGCCACGAGAAGCAGCAGACAGCACGTGGCCACGCGGAACCTGCTCCTGTCGGGGCCGGCGGAGGGGGCGGGGACGAGCAAAGAAGCGGTTAGAATCAGCGTCCCAACATAAGGAACGCAAAATACGGAACGGAGGGGCTTCCCTAGCCGCGGTGAGCTTCGGCCACTAAAGGGTTCGGAACGGCCCTAAGAACGGAGCCCCTCCTGAGCCCACAGTGGTCCTTATTTCAGCGCCTTGGCTGCAGCGAATCAGCAGTGCGCGGCTGGTTTTCCTGGAAGGCGCCAGGGGGCGAGGCGACCATTGTATCAAGGGAAGTGCCTGGTGGCGGGGCCGAAGCCAACTGCAGAGGGTAACTCTTGCACTGCGAAGCCGTTTCCAAAATGAACGCTGTATGAGGAACGAGAGCATGTTTTGGCAGTTCTGGCCCCAACAGTGCCTGGGTGTACGAGGAGCCGCTGGAGGATACGCCATGACGGTCCTAAGCAGTAAGCCCCTTCCGAACCCGCACCGCTCCAACGTCTCGACTGTAGCCCCTCTTTCCCATGCCCCGCCCCTCTCGCCCGCCCCCCCGTCCGAGCTAAAACGAGCGGCTCGCCAAGGCCCACGCCACCGGCCACGAGCCTTGCTCAGCTCACGGCCACGGGGCGGAACGGGGACCGAGGCGCCCCTGCCACGTGCGCCAGTGCATTAAAACTTCCGCCGTGCAAAGACTTCCACCTCGCTGGGCCGATCCGAGGCGCGGCTCGCGTGTGCCCTCGCCCTGGGGCGACCTCTCTCCACGAGGCTCCGTCGGGCGAATCTGCCCCGTGGGCTGGGGCCGCGCTCGCTCCCTGCGGGCCCCAAGACTACGCACCACCACCACGTCGATTCCTCCTCCCTCCTCTGCCCTCCCATTCCTCTCCTCTCTCCTGGGAGAGGGAGGGGGTGAGGGAGGTGGCGGTGGTGTACAAGCTCGGGCCCCGCATCCGGTGAGGCCACGCTCAGCGGGCGGGTGCCGAGGCCGGGCGCGGAGGGGCCTGGGCTGCTGGCCGGGGCGAGGTGAGCATGAGAGCACCCCCGCGGGCGCGCCGAAGGCGGCTCGTGTCGGCGTCGCCGCCGCAGCCCCTCCTACAGCGGCCCGGGGCGGAACGGCTCCAGGACGATGCTCTTCCTGTTCTGTTCTGTTGTGTGCGAGAGGAGAGGGGATCAAGGCAACACTTTTTCAAGTACCGCTCTACCGGTTGCGTGGTAGAAGTCTGCCTTACAATTGGCTCAGCTACGCGGGTCTTGAACTAAAAAGCTGTGGTCGCAGCAACAGCTATCCACCACCTACCCCAGCCACTGCTCCATAGGCTATGCCATGCAAGTATCTGTAAAGAGATGGGGCTGCGTTCGCCCAACTCGCATTGATGGATTGCCGGCTATCCCCACTCCGATCTCGGAAAGCCACCGCAAGCCATGAGTTGAGCAAGGCATCCTCGTTGATGCCTTTGAGGGCCCTCTTAATTGGGCTCACTAGCGCTGGGTGGTGACCCAGCACTAGCCAGCAAAAACTCTTTTGCTTGACCCTGGAACCGTTGGTGTCGTAACGCCTCTGGCTCTGCAGGGCGGCTGCTCTAACCGCCTGCAGCGTGAAGCTACTTGCAAAGTTTGCCTTCAGACGCTCTAAGACGTCGTGCACAGAAGCTTGGAAGAGGTCTGGATTGCTACAGAGCTTGTTTACTCGGTTCACGTAAGCCTTCGGCCAGGAAGCATGGATCGGAAAACGGTGCGAGCTATTCGTCCCCAGCGGGGGTGCCGAAGCGGTGGGTTTAAGAAAATGTGAAACATCGAATCTCCCATCTCCTTTGTGGATGGAAACTTCTAGGAAATCAACACTCCACATCGACCACTCTACCGTCAAAGGATAGAAGACAGCTCTGGCCCGCATTCGATCATAAAACTGTTTGGCCCTGGACGCTAGGCCTTGACCGAGAAGCAAAATGTCGTCACGGAATCTGAAATACCCCCTGATGCCGTGATCATCCAAAATGCTAGGGAGGAGGAGGTGCTGCTCCACGAGACCTAAGAAAGTGCAGTCTGCGAGCTCCCCGCTATGGAGGAGCCCCTATCCCTGAACCAGATCATCACCTGGTAGACCCTGTCTGGCGAATCGTCTTTGCCCAAGGATCCCGTACGGAATCGTGGTGGAGATCATAATCCCGCAGCCATGTCCGCCGTCGTCCTTAAGATGTGTCGCGGACATCGAACCAAGGACTGGACGACCGACACGATCTGGTCTTCCGTCGTTAAGGGGAAAAAATCTTTTCACATTCAACCTTGCAAAAGTGCCAGTTGGCGGTCAGGTGCCAACTGTTGCAGCTCCTGCGGATTCACGTGCATTCCGAGCACGAGGAGATGGGGCGCACGCTCGTCGAGCTTGTCCCGAAGAACTGAGACGACCCACGCGCTGAGCCCGCTGAAAATGTACGTGGGCGTCGCGTGCACTGGTCGGCACGATACTTCCCCTTCTGATTTGTGGTCCTTCACGGTGAGCTGCAGACGGCTGAAGAACGTTGCGTTCGAGAAGAAAACGGTCCTGAACATCCGTCTGCCAGCGTGCGGCTGCCCGATGACGTCGGCAACCTCGGAACACAAGTTCTTATATGTCTCTATGGTGTTATTCAGGAGGCCATGCGGGCTGATGCATATGTACATGTTAGAATCAAGTATCCTGGCCGACATCCCTGGGAGGTCGGACTTGCGAACAAGAGAATACCTGCTGTTCTTGTCGTTCGGAAGGCAAACGTACTCGCTGATCCTGAGGGTCCTTAAGGCAAGCCTTTCAAGCGCCGTAGAATTGGAATAACTTCGATCACCAAACCTATGTGCTGACCGGCTCTTCCGAACGGCATCGAGAAGCCTCTTTTTCACAGAAGTAAGCCACCGATCCAACATGCGACTCCTCCATCATAGTTCGTGCCTATGCTGTGCCTCTGGGCACAAAAAACGGGGCGACTCGTGAAAAGAGCGAGGTAGGTTGAAATCAACAGCCTCTGGTGGCACTCTGCTGGTCATTACCACCGGCCATTTGAATCCTATTGGAAATCAGTGACTTTCAAACGGACGCGTTCCATCGATGGCAACCCACGTGATTGGAAAATGTGCTTCCTGTGTCGGCGCAAAATCAACCATTTGATGGGCCATGGGATCGCACTGTCATCAACCATAGACTTCGTAAGGGGATCGTATCTTTTGACGCGGTGCTGATTTTCCTTCCAGTTGAGGATTGTGAGCAGGTCTCCAAGGTCCAGGCCCTCCGTGAGCCTGGTCATCCAGCGCACTGGCGCTGCAGACTGCTTCATTTCTTTTTGCCTTTGCCGCCACGTTTTTTGCCTAAGCCTTTTCTTGTGTTGTCGCCCTTGGCCGTGTCCTTCCCTTTTCCTTTGCCGCGTCCCTTGGGGAACCCTTTGGTCTTCCAATTTCGTGACTCTTCGCCCTTGGCTGTGTTCTTCCCCTTTCCAGCACCAGCTCCTTTGGGAGACGCGTTGGTCTTGCCCTTGCGCCTGTCGTCTTTCTTGGGATAGCCAGTAAACGTGTTGTTCGTGCTGGTGTTGTACTTGGCGTTGTACTTGCCCTTGCCGTTGCCGATGTGTTGTGCCCCCCCCGGCTTGCCAGCCGGGGCGGCCCCGTTTTTTGTCATTACCGTTTCGCAGAACTTTGAGGCGGCAGGGTGCAGCTCTGGTTGATGGTCGTCCTCCATCCTGTCGGAGGCCTCCTCGGGCTCATGCTTCAGCTTGTCGTCGATGCGAGCGTCGATGACAAGTTCGAGGAGGTTTGCCGGGTCCTTTGCCAAGAGTTCACGTTCTTGTTCCTTTTCTTTGTCATGCTTCTTCCGTTCTTCTTCCTCCTTCTGGGTGACCTCTTTGGAGATTTTGTCCACTGCAGCTTGGTAGAGTGCTTCGGCCTTCTCCTGCACGGCGTCCTCGGGGATCGTCTCGTACAAGGGTTCGTTGAGGCCGAGGGCCGCCGCGCGGTCCTTGTCCTTCGCCTCCCGGACCAGCGCGGAGACCGCTTCTGCAAAAGTATGCCTTTGCGCAGCCGCCCTCGTGGTCCCCATCTTGTGTTGGGCTGAAGCGAACTCGATGTCCTTGTGGATCCGTGCTGCCTCCCAGTGCATGTGTGCCATCGCCTCCCTGTGAGTGGACTCCTTGGGAATGGTGATGGTGATGCTGTGCTCGCCAGTGGTGCTCTTCTCCCACTTCTCATCCAGCTCCGATAACGTCGATGAGGATCGGAACGGCCTGGTGCCAGGTGGGTATCGCCCTGGCCCTTCGGAGAAGATCTTGACGTCGCGCTCGATTCGCTCAGCCCTCTTCTTCGGCGTTAATTTCCACTTCCGCACAGGTCGCCCTACGAAGGTGGACCGCAACTTTTTTCGGGGGCTCCCTGGAGGGTCCTTTGGGATCTTGCCGTGTTACTGCTTGCCGGCGGCGGGGCGCAGGGGGCGCCACAGATGCTGGCTACTGTGGCGGACGGCCGCTGCTGTAGTTGGCTGCCCATGCTGCTGTGTTGGCTGGCGGCGCGCTCTTGCTCCGCAGTCTGCGGATGCAGCTGCCGACCTGCTTGCTGCATCGTGGCGAATGCCTTAGCCTGGGTCAGCTGCCCAATATTCTCCAATATGGTCTTCTGCATCTGCATATTTGATTTACTCATCTCTCCCATGAGTTGACGAAGCTCTGCAATGTCCGGAGTGCTCGTTGATTTGTTGTCATGAGCTCTCTGGTCACTGCCCTTACCCCGACGGGGGCTCCGCTCTCGGCTGATCTCGTCGAGCGCCGAGCGGAAGGAGGGACGCTCATCCCTTCCCCTCGTGGAGGCGTCGGCAGCGCCATATTCCGCGCCCTCGCGATGGTCCTTGTGAACATGTACTGTTGTGAGCGAGAGGGAAGCAATAACAGGGAACACTTTTTCAAGTACCGCCTACGGTTTCGTGGTAGAATCTGCTACAATTGGCTCAAGCTACGCGGGTCTTGAACTAAAAAGCTGTGGTCGCAGCAACAGCAGCAGCAGCAGCAGCAGCAGCAGCAGCAGCAGCAGCAGCAGCAGCAGCAGCAGCAGCAGCAGCAGCAGTAAGCCCCTTCCGAACCCGCACCGCTCCAACGTCTCGACTGTAGCCCCTCTTTCCCATGCCCCGCCCCTCTCGCCCGCCCCCCCGTCCGAGCTAAAACGAGCGGCTCGCCAAGGCCCACGCCACCGGCCACGAGCCTTGCTCAGCTCACGGCCACGGGGCGGAACGGGGACCGAGGCGCCCCTGCCACGTGCGCCAGTGCATTAAAACTTCCGCCGTGCAAAGACTTCCACCTCGCTGGGCCGATCCGAGGCGCGGCTCGCGTGTGCCCTCGCCCTGGGGCGACCTCTCTCCACGAGGCTCCGTCGGGCGAATCTGCCCCGTGGGCTGGGGCCGCGCTCGCTCCCTGCGGGCCCCAAGACTACGCACCACCACCACGTCGATTCCTCCTCCCTCCTCTGCCCTCCCATTCCTCTCCTCTCTCCTGGGAGAGGGAGGGGGTGAGGGAGGTGGCGGTGGTGTACAAGCTCGGGCCCCGCATCCGGTGAGGCCACGCTCAGCGGGCGGGTGCCGAGGCCGGGCGCGGAGGGGCCTGGGCTGCTGGCCGGGGCGAGGTGAGCATGAGAGCACCCCCGCGGGCGCGCCGAAGGCGGCTCGTGTCGGCGTCGCCGCCGCAGCCCCTCCTACAGCGGCCCGGGGCGGAACGGCTCCAGGACGATGCTCTTCCTGTTCTGTTCTGTTGTGTGCGAGAGGGGATCAAGGCAACACTTTTTCAAGTACCGCTCTACCGGTTGCGTGGTAGAAGTCTGCCTTACAATTGGCTCAGCTACGCGGGTCTTGAACTAAAAAGCTGCGGTCGCAGCAACAGCTATCCACCACCTACCCCAGCCACTGCTCCATAGGCTATGCCATGCAAGTATCTGTAAAGAGATGGGGCTGCGTTCGCCCAACTCGCATTGATGGATTGCCGGCTATCCCCACTCCGATCTCGGAAAGCCACCGCAAGCCATGAGTTGAGCAAGGCATCCTCGTTGATGCCTTTGAGGGCCCTCTTAATTGGGCTCACTAGCGCTGGGTGGTGACCCAGCACTAGCCAGCAAAAACTCTTTTGCTTGACCCTGGAACCGTTGGTGTCGTAACGCCTCTGGCTCTGCAGGGCGGCTGCTCTAACCGCCTGCAGCGTGAAGCTACTTGCAAAGTTTGCCTTCAGACGCTCTAAGACGTCGTGCACAGAAGCTTGGAAGAGGTCTGGATTGCTACAGAGCTTGTTTACTCGGTTCACGTAAGCCTTCGGCCAGGAAGCATGGATCGGAAAACGGTGCGAGCTATTCGTCCCCAGCGGGGGTGCCAAAGCGGTGGGTTTAAGAAAATGTGAAACATCGAATCTCCCATCTCCTTTGTGGATGGAAACTTCTAGGAAATCAACACTCCACATCGACCACTCTACCGTCAAAGGATAGAAGACAGCTCTGGCCCGCATTCGATCATAAAACTGTTTGGTCCTGGACGCTAGGCCTTGACCGAGAAGCAAAATGTCGTCACGGAATCTGAAATACCCCCTGATGCCGTGATCATCCAAAATGCTAGGGAGGAGGAGGTGCTGCTCCACGAGACCTAAGAAAGTGCAGTCTGCGAGCTCCCCGCTATGGAGGAGCCCCATCCCTGAACCAGATATCACCTGGTAGACCCTGTCTGGCGAATCGTCCCAAGGATCCCGTACGAATTGGCACCGCAATAGAAAACGAATGACCTTCTCAAGGGTACTGTAGATGGTGTCGCGGACATCGAACAAGGACATGACGCACGACACGATCTGGTCTTCCGTACCGTTAAGGTAAAAATCTTTCACATCAACCTTGCAAAAGTGCCACGTGCGGTCAGGGTGCAAATTTTGCAGCCTGCGGATCAGATCAGAAGAATCACGGAGGAGATGGGGCGCACGCTCGTCGAGCTTGTCCCGAAGAACTGAGACGACCCACGCGCTGAGCCCGCTGAAAATGTACGTGGGCGTCGCGTGCACTGGTCGGCACGATACTTCCCCTTCTGATTTGTGGTCCTTCACGGTGAGCTGCAGACGGCTGAAGAACGTTGCGTTCGAGAAGAAAACGGTCCTGAACATCCGTCTGCCAGCGTGCGGCTGCCCGATGACGTCGGCAACCTCGGAACACAAGTTCTTATATGTCTCTATGGTGCTATTCAGGAGGCCACGCGGGCTGATGCATATGTACATGTTAGAGTCAAGTATCCTGGCCGACATCCCTGGGAGGTCGGACTTGCGAACCAGAGAATACCTGCTGTTCTTGTCGTTCGGAAGGCAAACATACTCGCTACTCCTGAGGGTCCTCAAGGCAAGCCTTTCGAGCGCCGTAGAATTGGAATAACTTCGATCACCAAACCTATGTGCTGACCGGCTCTTCCGAACGGCATCGAGAAGCCTCTTTTTCACAGAAGTAAGCCACCGATCCAACATCCTCCACTCATAGTTCGTGCCTATGCTGTGCTCTGGGCAAAACGGGGCGACTCGAGAAGAGCGAGGTAGAGTGAAATCAACAGCCTCTGGAGGGTACTGCTGGTAATACCACCGCCATTTGATCCTATTCGCGAAATCAGTGACTTTCAAACGGACGCGTTCCATCGATGGCAACCCACGTGATTGGAAAATGTGCTTCCTGTGTCGGCGCAAAATCAACCATTTAATGGGCCATGGGATCGCACTGTCATCAACCATAGACTTCGTAAGGGGATCGTATCTTTTGACGCGGTGCTGATTTTCCTTCCAGTTGAGGATTGTGAGCAGGTCTCCAAAGTCCAGGCCCTCCGTGAGCCTGGTCATCCAGCGCACTGGCGCTGCAGACTGCTTCATTTCTTTTTGCCTTTGCCGCCACGTTTTTTGCCTAAGCCTTTTCTTGTGTTGTCGCCCTTGGCCGTGTCCTTCCCTTTTCCTTTGCCGCGTCCCTTGGGGAACCCTTTGGTCTTCCAATTTCGTGACTCTTCGCCCTTGGCTGTGTTCTTCCCCTTTCCAGCACCAGCTCCTTTGGGAGACGCGTTGGTCTTGCCCTTGCGCCTGTCGTCTTTCTTGGGATAGCCAGTAAACGTGTTGTTCGTGCTGGTGTTGTACTTGGTGTTGTACTTGCCCTTGCCGTTGCCGATGTGTTGTGCCCCCCCCGGCTTGCCAGCCGGGGCGGCCCCGTTTTTTGTCATTACCGTTTCGCAAAACTTTGAGGCGGCAGGGTGCAGCTCTGGCTGATGGTCGTCCTCCATCCTGTCGGAGGCCTCCTCGGGCTCATGCTTCAGCTTGTCGTCGATGCGAGCGTCGATGACAAGTTCGAGGAGGTTTGCTGGGTCCTTTGCCAAGAGTTCACGTTCTTGTTCCTTTTCTTTGTCATGCTTCTTCCGTTCTTCTTCCTCCTTCTGGGTGACCTCTTTGGAGATTTTGTCCACTGCAGCTTGGTAGAGTGCTTCGGCCTTCTCCTGCACGGCGTCCTCGGGGATCGTCTCGTACAAGGGTTCGTTGAGGCCGAGGGCCGCCGCGCGGTCCTTGTCCTTCGCCTCCCGGACCAGCGCGGAGACCGCTTCTGCAAAAGTATGCCTTTGCGCAGCCGCCCTCGTGGTCCCCATCTTGTGTTGGGCTGAAGCGAACTCGATGTCCTTGTGGATCCGTGCTGCCTCCCAGTGCATGTGTGCCATCGCCTCCCTGTGAGTGGACTCCTTGGGAATGGTGATGGTGATGCTGTGCTCGCCAGTGGTGCTCTTCTCCCACTTCTCATCCAGCTCCGATAACGTCGATGAGGATCGGAACGGCCTGGTGCCAGGTGGGTATCGCCCTGGCCCTTCGGAGAAGATCTTGACGTCGCGCTCGATTCGCTCAGCCCTCTTCTTGGCGTTAATCCACTTCCGCAGGTCGCCCTCGAAGGTGGACCGCAACTTTTCGAGGGCTCCCTGGAGGTCCTTTGGGATCTTGCCCGTGTTACTGCTTGCCGCGGCGGGCGCAGGGGCGCCACCAGTGCTGGCTACTGTGGCGACGGCCGCTGCTGTAGTGGCTGCCACTGCTGCTGTGTTGGCGGCGGCACGCTCTGCCTCCGCAGCTGCGGATGCAGCTGCCGACCCTGCTTGCTGCATCGTGGCATGCATAGCCTGGGTCAGCTGCCCAATATTCTCCAATATGGTCTTCTGCATCTGCATGTTTGATTTAATCATCTCTCCCATGAGTTGACGAAGCTCTGCAATGTCCGGAGTGCTCGTTGATTTGTTGTCATGAGCTCTCTGGTCACTGCCCTTACCCCGACGGGGGCTCCGCTCTCGGCTGATCTCGTCGAGCGCCGAGCGGAAGGAGGGACGCTCATCCCTTCCCCTCGTGGAGGCGTCGGCAGCGCCATTTGCCGCACCCTCTCGATGGTCCATGTGAACACTGTACTGTTGTGTGCGAGAGGGGATCAAGGCAACACTTTTTCAAGTACCGCTCTACCGGTTGCGTGGTAGAAGTCTGCCTTACAATTGGCTCAGCTACGCGGGTCTTGAACTAAAAAGCTGTGGTCGCAGCAACAGCAGCAGCAGCAGCAGCAGCAGCAGCAGCAGCAGCAGCAGCAGCAGCAGCAGCAGCAGCAGCAGCAGCAGCAGCAGTAAGCCCCTTCCGAACCCGCACCGCTCCAACGTCTCGACTGTAGCCCCTCTTTCCCATGCCCCGCCCCTCTCGCCCGCCCCCCCGTCCGAGCTAAAACGAGCGGCTCGCCAAGGCCCACGCCACCGGCCACGAGCCTTGCTCAGCTCACGGCCACGGGGCGGAACGGGGACCGAGGCGCCCCTGCCACGTGCGCCAGTGCATTAAAACTTCCGCCGTGCAAAGACTTCCACCTCGCTGGGCCGATCCGAGGCGCGGCTCGCGTGTGCCCTCGCCCTGGGGCGACCTCTCTCCACGAGGCTCCGTCGGGCGAATCTGCCCCGTGGGCTGGGGCCGCGCTCGCTCCCTGCGGGCCCCAAGACTACACACCACCACCACGTCGATTCCTCCTCCCTCCTCTGCCCTCCCATTCCTCTCCTCTCTCCTGGGAGAGGGAGGGGGTGAGGGAGGTGGCGGTGGTGTACAAGCTCGGGCCCCGCATCCGGTGAGGCCACGCTCAGCGGGCGGGTGCCGAGGCCGGGCGCGGAGGGGCCTGGGCTGCTGGCCGGGGCGAGGTGAGCATGAGAGCACCCCCGCGGGCGCGCCGAAGGCGGCTCGTGTCGGCGTCGCCGCCGCAGCCCCTCCTACAGCGGCCCGGGGCGGAACGGCTCCAGGACGATGCTCTTCCCGGCTACCACCTGCTGGCTGCCCGACTCCAGGATGCGCGTGACGGCGCTGGCGTGCGCCATCACCACGAAGCCGATGCTTCCGGGCCGCACCCGCGCCGCGGCCTCGAGGGAGCGCGTCGCCTTCGTGTGCGCGATCAGCACCCTCTTGACCTGCCCGAACGCCGAGAAGTGCGACGCCACCAGCCTCTCCGACGCGAAGCTCAAGGTGTGAAGCCGCCGGGCGACGAACACACACTGGTGGTCATGCTCCCTCTGCAGCAGCTTCAGCTGATCTCCAATCGTCGACGACGGCCAGTGGGGCCGTTCGGTCATGCAAGTCAGGCTGCCGTCCTTCGAGGTCTTGCCGCGCCCATGCTCTTGCTGCTCTCGGCAGGCACTGCCTGGCACCGCCGTCGTCCCTTGGTCACGGTCCGCCTCGTGTGCTCCTTGCTGGGCAGTCTCTGCGGAGGTCACGGAGGCAGTGCCCACGGCGGCAGCGCTGGCAACAGCAGGAGCTGCGACGACGCTGCTGCCCGTGGCGCCAGCTTCGCACTGCACTTCACCCGTGGGCTTCACCGAAAGGCTGCTCATCCTGATCCTTGGCTGGCAGCTGCGTGCAGTCCGGCCGGACTTGTGATCAGAGCGGGTCTCGCTACCAATGCCATCCACCTCAACAAAGGTGTTCTTCACGTGCCAGGAGTGCGTCGTCCACGCGCTTGTGTCCGCATCGATGTTGGTTGATTTATCGCTTAACAGTGGGGCACTCATTGGAAACATCATCGCTTGAACCAGGGAAGCTATGTAGGTGCCAGCCTGTAACGCTGAGAACGGAGAAGGGAATGATGAACGCGCATGCCGCTGGGAGAACACATCCAGACACTTTTCGCCAAACGAGGGTTCACACGCGCCACGCCTCGGAACATTGCAGGGAGACTCTCCAACAGCTTGATTCCCACAGAGTTTCAAACGGGCGGTGACGTCACTTCATTCGGCCTGCTGCAGCAGCAGCAGCAGCAGTCAAGGCTTAGAGTTGAATCCCACCAACCCTCCAAACGCTAGTGGTATAACGAATTGTCGATTCCATCTTCTTCAACCTCTCCACTCTATTCGGGGAGCATGTGTCACTGTTCCTCATGTATATACACCCCATCCCCGACCTGACCAGGGGCAAACCCAGAATCATGACGACCCCCCGTTACCCTGTCAAAAGCAAGTTGGCGCCATTGCGGCAGAAGACCCTGCGCAACTTTACACTGCTACGATGGGGGCCACGAAGGAAGGTCACGGTGGGGAGCCACGACGGGGGAATCAGGACAGGGACAGGAGCAGGAATAGAGGGCTAGGGATTCAGGGATAGGGACCACGTGGGGAGAGGAAATAGGATAGGGATCAAATGGGCTGGGGATAGACGGATGGGGACAGAGACGGCAATGGGAGGCTACGGCAAGCAACGGGAAAGAAAGTACAGGGAATAACAGGAGGTCGGGGGAGACAGCGGAAAGCCACGGGAAGCAACATGAGGCAATGGGAGGCCACGGCAGCGTCGCCTGCCTGATTCCGGATCGGGCAGCGCACTTGATTACTCGTTTCTTGAGCACGTGTTGGATTGTCACCTCCTCCTCCTCCTCCTCCGCTCTCTCTCAGGCCACGGTTCACCTCATGAGTCCGCATGTCACAGATCGGCTCGTGGGCTGCACCCAGTTTGCCTGCTGATTCCTTCAGCCGCACGGCAGTATCACGCAATAGCAGTCGACTGAGCGCGGACGCGTCGGTGCCGATCTTGGCCCTCGTCCCGGCCGTCGTCAATTCGTGGATCATCCTCGCGAGGTCGGCGACGGCCGGCATGGACTATGACCAAGATCGGCGCCGACTGGATCCCATGGGAAATATCTTGGTCATGGTCATCCTGTCTCTTTTCTCCAGCGGAGTCACTGCAGCGGGCACGGCCTGCAGGAGCCCCAGCCTACGAGCCCTCGCCGCCGTCGCTTCTTCGCCCGGACGAGCGGCACCTGGACCGCCACAGCGGCAAGCTGTGACAGTAGAGTCGAGGCCTCCCAGATGGGGTCCGAGTAGATGGGGTCGGAGGATCGCTCCGCATCCTCGATGCATCGCCGATGCAGCATCGGCGATGCATCGGCGACACTGGCGATGCATCGGCGAAGTCGGCGTGGAGAAAATCGGGCCCCGAGACGAGGGGGAGGAAGAGGAGGAGGAGGTAGGGAGGAGGAGGAGGAGGAGGAGGAGGAGGAGGAGGAGGAGGAGGAGGAGGAGGAGGAGGAGGAGGAGGAGGAGGAGGAGGAGGAGGAGGAGGAGGAGGAGGTAGGGAGGAGGAGGAGGAGGAGGAGGTAGGGAGGATCGCCGCCGCGGCCAGCTGTGACAGGCGCGCCGGGCGCGCCAGCGGTAGGCGGGCCTCGTCGCGCGCGCCACCACCTGGCGGGCGACGCAAGCGGGAGCCTCAAACGGCGGCCCGCGGGGCGCCGCGCGGCTGCCCGTGGCTCACAGCTCGCCGCCGTCGCGGGCGCCGGGTGCTCCCGGGGGGCTGCCGGAGAAATGGCCCCAGCCCGAGGTGCCCCCACGTGGGAGCCCCAGGGGCCCCCTGGGCCTCCCCCTGCTCGGCGGCGAAGCCGCGCCCGGTAGGGGGGGGGGCCGAAAGGGACCCCGAGGAGGGCCCGAGGGATACCCTGCAGGGGGGCCCTGAGGGGGGGCCCTCGGCGGAGCCCCGAGGGGAGGTCTGAGGGGAGGTCCTGCGGCCCTTGCGGGCCGCTGCTGCGGGGGTCGCCGCGCGGGAGCAGGCAGCGCGAACCGCCGCCGCCGCCGCCGTCGTCGCCATCATCACGCCTCGCCCCTCCCCTCCTGCCCCGCCGTTCCCTTCCCCCACTGCCTCGTCCACGTCGGAACCGCTGAACCCGCCCGCCGGCAATCGGAATCGGACCGCGGTAGGTCGGCAATGGGACATCAAAATCGGAACGGAGCGGATTTAACTGCGTCGAAAAATCGGAGTAAGCAAGCCGAACAAGCCGAACCGAACCGGCCGAAAAACCGCAAACCGAACCGGCCGAACCGAACCGGCTACGGACCAGCCGAACTGGACTGGTTTGCGACGCGATCCCGACCAGCCGAACCGAACCGGTCTTTGACGCGAGCCGAACTGGCCGAACCAGACCAGGCGCACGTCGAACCGAACTGAACCGAACCGCGGCTTTCATGGGGAAGTGAAAAGGGGCAGCACTACTCAAAGGCGGCGGGGCTTCTCAGAAGCCCTTTCAACCTTCTGAGATGTTGTTTGTGTCTTCGGGGAAGGTTTAGAAAACTTTTCAAAAGGCCCGATGTCTTCCGAGCCTTCGGAGAAGGCTCGCCCATTCTCACTTTCCCCCCGGGCTCGCCGCCGACATGTGAGATCCTTAAATGCCTCCCAGATGGTGGCCGAATAGATGGGATCGGAGGATCGCGTCGCGTCGACGGTGCATCGGCAATGCGTCGTCTCACGGGACGACGATAAGAAACGGGTCTTACGCGAGATGCCATAGCGACCTTACGCCGCGGCTTACGCGGGCCTCCGGTGCGCCACGTTACGCTGGAAACGAGAACTATTACGCGCGACCTTACGCGGGCAACTTACGGCGGGACCTCACGCGGCACCTTGCGCGAGACCTTCCGCTCCATGCGGGGGCCCCAGTGGCAGTCTGTCGGGGAGACGTAATGTCCACGGGGCTAGAGTAGAAAGGTACAGAACCCCTTGATCCGTAGGTAGAGGATGGAAGGAAAGCTAGGGATATTTTCCTCCTGTGCGACCAGCGCCCTGGTCTCTTCCAGTACCTGAGCCGATGAGGCATGCGAAAAAGGCGAGTGAGGAGTAGAGATGAGGGTATGAGACGGGTTCCTTTCGCGCCCCCCGTCCCGGATCCCGCCCGCGCGGGCAGGAATCGGGAAAAGGAACAAAGAACCTGTCACCGTCTTACTCCTCAAAAGCGCACATGTCTCGAACACACCAGCAGGGTACGTTTCTGCCACTATCCAGCGCCACTGCAAAGTGTGAGCGGGCAAGGTAAGGAACGAAGGAGCATCCAAGTGTCCATGATCCTTTTCCGAACACCCTTAGGCGCCCCTCGGCGCGCCCCCCCAAAACGCTTCGGCACTCGAGGCATGAAAGGAATGAGAGAAGCAAGAGGAACTAAGGAAATGAAAGCAACATCATGAGCCGCTGCGTCCAGCCTCATCGACGAGGAAAGGAAGCAGCGGGAGTTGCCACCGGAGTCAAAATGAGAATACGCCGAATCAACGCAGTCAGTGCTCCGTCAGCTGTCGCACAGAGGATATGCAAATGCGTTCTCATGCATGTTTATGGCGTCGTAGATGTAAATCAAATTCAATGTCTTGTTGATGAGCACGAAGAAGTACATGAGAAAACGTTGTCATGACGGGTGAGTCTCTGTGGCAGTTATCTCCTGAGGAGCGCGCCGTGACCGCCACTTAAATGTCTGCGAGGCCACTTCTCGATAGTAGTGAAGTGGCCGAACATGTTGTGTCTGGTACTGCTCGAGGTGAACTCCGCAACGGCTAAGTTCAGGCGATCTCGAGCAGTGGGCCTCGCGGCCGACGCCAGTAGGCGTTGTCGGCCGCGAAGTATGCCGCTGGGCCGCGCGGGTAGAACTCGCTGTCCCAGACGCGGCGGCCATCAGGACCAACGTAGCTGACCCTGTACGTCTCCTACGCGGTCCGCTCGTACCAGTCGGAGAAGCGAGGGTTGCGCTGGATGTCGCGCAGGTGCACGAACTCGTCGTTGTTCTCCGCGATGTAGATCCAGCACTTGTTGAAGTAGCTCCAGCGCCTGGGGCCCCACTCGCTGCCCTCGGGGTCGTTGCGCCAGTAGGCGGCGCACTCCTGAGCAATGCGCGCCCTAGGGGCGCGGCGGCGGCGTCGCCGCCCGGCCCAGCGGGCATCGCTGCCAGCGCGCCTGGGGCGCGCGGAGCAGCGGCTGCGCCATGGCATCGATAGGAGAGGTCGTAGGTGGAGGGTTAGTGTTAGGATCGGCTCCAAACCCTGAACTCTTCCCCCCATCGCTTTTACCTCCCCACTTGGTGCGTGGGATGTCATGTCCACGGGCAGGCGGGACGGAAGCAGCCTTAGCAAGATCACGACGCGTAGTCCGGTCGAGCGTGCCGTCCCCGCGGGGTACTGCAGTCGTGACCAGACCGCGCTCTTGCCGGGTGCACCTGTCCATCCTGCCCTGGTTCAACCACCAGTTCCTGCGACCGGCGAGGCCAAGGGCCTGGTTGCGATCATGGATTGTGGGCGAGCCCGACGACCATCGCACGTTGTACCAGCCCGGCGACGACCGACGACCCTCCTCCTTCTCCTCCTCGAGGAGGAGGAGGAGGAGGAAGAGGAGGAGGAGGAGGGGAAGGAGGAGGAGGAGGAGGAGGAGGACCAGTGCTAACCCAAGAATCTGTTTCACGACGCGAGGATATCTGGTTTTCGATTCATAGTTCGGGCCCCCAGCAGCCCTTCGGGATGATCGAATCGATGGGATGCGGGGGTAGGGTTCGGACTTCGCTACGCGCTCGACGACTTCTGGACCCCATCCTTGCCGCCAATCAAGCTGCCTGAAGGTTCGGATTTCGCCGCCGATTTTCACGACGAGGGGAGTTGGTAACAAGAGGTATGTCGACCCCTATCCCAGGCTTCGCTGGGTTTTCGAATGGACCAGAAATCTTGGGCCCAACTCGGGAATGTAGGACAGGGGCTGTCTGTCCTCAATAGGGGCGCGTCCGATGAGCCCTCCTGGGGTGCATCCCAGAATTTGACTCCCTGTATGAGCGGCTTGATTTTTCGTGGAACAGTCGGGGCTGGGGGGCGAGAATCGCCTGCGAGATGAGGCTCCAGCAACACCCGACCATTCGCCGCCTCCTGCGCCGCCGCGGCGGCGCCGAGTGGCGGCCCGCGTTGCCGCAGCGGGCAGCGAGCTCGCAAGCGCCGTGCGCCGCTCCCGTGCGGTTGGCGCCGGCGCCGAGGGCGCGGGCGAGTTCCTCACGGCGGGTCGACGACGGGGCCCCAGATGTCGCCCATGGGGGGGAGGCGGGCCCTGAAGGAAGCGGGTCCTGAGGTCTCTGGCCGTGTTTGGCTTCCAGGGGGGGCCTGCAGCGGACCTCGGGCGTGTGAGAAAACGACTCGGGATGAAGAACTCGTTTTTGTTTCTCGTCTTTGTTCCCAACCATCCTGTGGTGTTGGGTCCTCGCTTTGAAGAGACGGTCCCCGCATTCCTCCCTCCCTCCTTCCTCCTCCCTCCCCCTCCTCCATGCTCCTCCCTCCTCCCTGCGTTTCACCCACCCAGAACACCCCTTCGTGGTCCCACAGGGAGCTTCACTGAAGGCCCCAGTGCCACCCTCCGCATGCGTCCCGAAAACCCAAGTTGGCATTTACACCCACCCAATACAGCGCTTCGTGGCCCCATAGGGAGCTCCACCGAAGGCCCCAGTGCCACCGTCCGCATGCGTTCCGAAAACCAATTTGGCATTTTCACTCACCCAGTACAGCGCTTCGTGGCCCCATAGGGAGCTCCACCGAAGGCCCCAGTGCCACCGTCCGCATGCGTCCCGAAAACCCAAATTGGCATTTTCACCCATCCAGTACAACGTTTCGTGGCCCCGTGGGGACCTCCACCGAAGCCCCAGTGCCAAAACCCTTATGCGTCCCGAAAACCCAAGTTGGCATTTTCACCCACCCAGTACAGCGCTTCGTGGCCCCATAGGGAGCTCCACCGAAGGCCCCAGTGTCACCGTCCGCATGCGTCTCGAAAACCAAGTGGCATGTTCACCAACCCAATACAACGCTTCGTGGCCCCATAGGGAACTCCACCGAAGGCCCCAGTGCCACCGTCCGCATGCGTCCCGAAAACCCAATTTGGCATTTTCACCCACCCAATACAGCGCTTCGTGGCCCCGTAGGGAGCTCCACCGAAGGCCCCAGTGCCACCGTCCGCATGCGTGCCGGAAGCCCAATTTGGCATCCACACACACCCAATTGAGAGTTTCACCCACCCAATACAGCCCTTCGTGGCCCCATAGGCAGCTCCACCGACGGCCCCAGTGCTACCGCCCGCATGCGTTCCCCCCCACCCAGTACAGCGCTTCGTGGCCCCATAGGGAGCACCGAAGAAGATATTCACCGATGCGGTACCCACAACTGCATATGTTTGGGCCCCTCGCCAGGACAACTTTCTACGTATGTTTCTAATTTCTTGTTTGTTTCAAAAATTGTTCCTTCATGCTAGGGCCGGGAAAGGAGGGAAAGAGAAGCGAGGACCATGACCGAAACTGAACGTGGAAGCGATAGCGTGGATCTTGGTCCTTGTCTATCTGGGGCACCATCAGCTCGAGGATCATCCTCGCGGGTCGGCGACGGCTTGCATGGACCATGACCAAAAGCGACGCGGGCAAAAATCTGCGACGTCTTGGCCATGAGCATCGCGCTTCTTCCCTCGGCTGAGGGATGTGGCGCTGAGGAGAGGAGGCCGATCACAGGCTGAACCTTCCGAGTTTGAGCTTTTCGTCTGAGGGGTAGCGTCAGGTGGGGAGTGGCGCAGGCGGTGAAGCGTCGAGCTGGACTCGGCGATACCTTCGCCGATCAATCTGCAGCAGGCCCCCGATGGCGAATCCGCACGGTGCTCGGGCGGGGGTGGACCATCGGGACCGCATCGACGATCCATGGGCCATTGAGGGTCGATGCACCGCCCCCGGAATCCCCCCACCCCACCCCTCGCTGCCCCTGATCGTCCCTGGGGCCCCGCCCCCCGGGGCCCCACCTCCGAGCGCCGCCGGTCCTCCGCGAGGGCGTCCCCGTGAAGGTCGGGTCGGGCGAAAGGGGGGTGCAGTGACAGTTCCAAGTCGCCTGCGGCTGGGAGCTTTTGCTCGGCGTGTCGCCGCGGCGGCCCCGGCGACACGCCATGCCCGCAAGCGGATGGCGTGTCAGCCTGCTCCGCGGAGCGGGAGGCTCGGAAAGGCTCGGGACATTGGCGCTGGGGGACTCGGACCTGGACAGCGTGTCGCGCAGAAGCGTGGGCCTGAGCCGGCGGAGCGACATGCCATTCACAAATTCCCGACCGCAACTTCGCGTCCCGGATGCGCGGCATCTTCGCGCCCTCCCGCCAACGCCAACGTTCTCCAACCCAAGCCGCCAGGCGAGAGGCGCGGTCTCGCTTAACCTGGACGTTGGAAGTCTCCAAAAGCTCGGTCGGCTGAGGTCAGGGTAGCAAACCAGCCGATCACGTAAGTGCCCCTTTCGAGCTTCCAGGTTGGAGGCTGCTAAAGGTGTCCCTCGGCCCAGGTGCCCCCAGCTCCTTGCGCCATCTTGGAGCCCCTGTGGCCGACCCTGGGCCTCGTGATGGGATACTCTGGAGGCCTTCTGGGCCTTCTCGGGAAAGCTGGGGACACCCTGGGCCAGGGACACCTCTGGCATACACTCTTGGAAAAGGGGTCAGCGAATCGGCTCACGCAGCCGGTTTCCTGGCGCCTGGCGGCGCTAGCGTAGCCAGGCGGCGCAGGGGGAGAGAGGAGGAGCAGGAGGCTCCAGAGTGGAGGGCTGGTGGTGGAGCGGAGGAGGGGGAGCGGAGGAGGGGAGGGGAGGAGGAGGGGAGGAGAGGAGGGGGAGGGGGAGGGGGGGAGGAGGAGGGGATGGGGAGGAGGGGAAGGAGAGGGGGAGGGGGAGGAGGAGGAGGAGGAGGAGGAGGAGGAGGAGGAGGAGGAGGAGGAGGGGAGGATGAGGAGGAGGAGGAGAGAGGAGGAGGAGAGGGGAGGAGGAGGGGGAGGGGAGGGGGAGGAGGAGGGGACGGGGAGGGATCGGGCGGCGGCCTTGAAACCAGCCGCGTGCAGCAGATTCCGTAGCCACCCTCTCCCGATCCCCCTCTCCCTCCTCCCTCCTCCTCTCCCGCTCCTCCTCCTCCCGCTCCTCCTCCTCCTCCTCCTCCTCCTCCTCCTCCTCCTCCTCCTCCTCGTTCTCCCCTTCCTTCCGCCCGACCCGAGAAGACCGACCGTCTGCTCGCACGCATAGAAGAGCCCCTCCTTCCAAATTTCGTACGTCTCCGACGACATCTCGTTGGGCCGGCGATCCTCCTTATGCAGGCAGGGTTCGGAGGGTTCCCCCTCCGCAGCGTCCCTGCAGGGGCGGACCCGGTAGCCCTCGGCGATCAGCTCGTCCTTGAAGTGCTTGTTGCAGCCCTTCTTGTGGGACAACATCCTGTCGGTGACCATGTCGCCTGTTGGAGGCCTTCCAAGTGGGGCCAGAGTTTTCATGACTGCTCACTCTGGATGCGAAAAAAACGCCAAGACGAAAACACAGACATCCGAGAAAGAAGCGCCTGCACACCGGGCCAAAGGCGTGCTAAAATCTCCAGTAACAGGCTGACAGTTGCTCTAGTTCGGGCGCGCGGGCCGCCCCTGGGCTCCCTAGGTGAGAAGTACCCCAGGCGCAGCCTGGTTACCACTGGCTCAGGGCTGTATGATTCTCTTCTGGACGTCGCCCTTGAGGCTCCCAAGGGCACTCCAGGAGCCTTCATCAAAGCCTGCAGGAGAGCCCAAGCGGGTCCGAGACAGACCAAGAGCGCTCCAATATGTACAAGATGTCTTCTTCACAAAATCCAGAAGGCCTCTAAAGCGCCCCAACGGCGTTCCAAAGGGACCCCCCAATAAGGCCCATATAACCAACAACTGTTGATGATCTTCCAGATTTTGGAAAACAAATTTGGCGTTACCGCCTTTTCGGGCGTCAGGCTGCCCAAAACGGCCCAAGATGCCACCAAGATCGCCCCACGACAGCCCAAGAGGGTCCCAGGACGGCCCAAGAGGGCTCTAAGTCGGTACAAAAGGCTCCCCAAGAGGGCCCCAGAGGCCCCCAAAAGAGCCCCAAGAGGGGAAATCCTAGCTCACGTAGGCCACTAAGATGCCTCCAGAGGGCGACAATATTTCCCCACGAGAGGTCACCATGAAGTCCCAGGAGGTCCCCAAATGCCGCCAGGAGGCACCGAAAACGCCTCCCAAAAGACCCCAAGACGCACCCCGAAGAGGCGTCTTGTCCACGACCCACTTTGGCCCCAAGAGTGCTCCAAGAAGCCATCGAGAGGCCTCCCCCTCCCCCTCCCCCTCCCCCTCCTCCTCCTCCTCCTCCTCCTCCTCCTCCTCCTCCTCCTCCTCCTCCTGCTCCTCCTCCTCCACCTCCCTCCCCACGAGCACGCCAACAGAGCAACAATGATGGAACATGGGCCAGCGGAGTGAGCGAAACGATTGAATATACCGAGCGCAGGGACCGCAAAACACGGACGGACAACCGAAAAACACACGCACACAACACACACACACACGCAGAAACAACAATGTGTAACAACATACGGCACCAACAACGCTGCGCATGATGACGCACGTGCTCGCGTAGCCATGGAACCCACTCGAGGCAAGCACGACCACCCTCATTGGCCCTCTGCGCCAACCAGAGCTGGATAGCCCCGACACAACGATATCAATTCATAAACGCTCTCATCATCCAAGCGGAACCCCCCTGAAATGGCCGATCGGCAGATTAGAATCAGCCTGGGCACCGCGCCCTAAAACCCGAAGGCAAGACTCAACCCGAGAATTGTTCATAATTGCTCGTACGGCGTCGGCGGAAGAAACGATTGCCTCGTCCTAGACAGACTCTCCGCCGGCAGCATGTTTGCTCAACCAACTGCTGCCTGCGTGCAGCAGATGCCCATTGCACCTCCACCGACTACGAAGGACCCAGACTCTGGCAAATTCTTGCCACCGCCAGCCCCGCGGATTCAACAAACCCCTGGGGGTCACTGACAGCCTGCCGCACGGGGAGTTCGATGTACTTCGAGATCAAGGAGGCGGGGAGTGACGGTGCCTCGCTGGATGCGCCCAGGAATGCTTGCGGGCCCCAGGCCCGTCCACGCGGGCTGTCCAGGGGGACCCGAGAGGGGCCAGAGGCTCCCAGGACGACCTCAGCAAGGCTCCAATCGGATGTCGCATGTGGGGGGAGAGGGAGGAGGGGAGAGAGAGAGAGAGAGAGGGGGGGGGGGTGAATGGAAACTCAGAACTGCGATAGGACGTGACGTTTTTCGTGTTTTCGGGCGTAGCCCGGATTTGCTTCTCGCGAGGTGACCGACTGACTGAACTGACTGACTGGTTGCACCTGTCAGGCGGTCGTTGTGCTTTCGGCCAGCGATCGCGCAACCTACGTTGCAACCAATGGGAAATAGTTTGATTCTCAACGGCCGAGCGCGCAACCTATGGAGCAATCGACAGGGGGCTCTTCTCATTCTCGACGGACAAGCGCGCAACCTTTGGCGCACCCGATGGCAGACCGTTTCGCTCTCGGCGGCTGGGCGCGCAACCTAGTTCGCAAGCAGTGGCAAGCCGTTTCGCTCCGCAAAGCTGATTCCCCAGAGCCAAGTTGAAGTAAGCTGCGCTTCGGGAAGCAAAATTACGACATTTCTGCAGGATCCGAGCACAACGATGTTTAGAACGCGCTGGCGCTTAGAACGAAAAACAAAGCGAACTCGACCGCTGCACAACGAACGTTCAAAACGAAACTGGTGCAAACGAAAACGAAGCACGAAACGAGGCCACCACTCATAGAGAAAACAAAACGAAAAACGGAACGAATTCAGCAGACCGCGCTGGAAACAAAAATAACAACGAAACGAAAACATGGGACGACGGCTGGGGCCAGGGCGAGGTTCTGGCTGGGGCTTGAACCAGACACAACGACAAAACAAAACACACGAACAAAAAACAAACAAAACAAACCAAGGCTGCGGCGAGGGCTACAGGGCCGAAGCTAGGGCGAGGTCCCGTTTGAGGCGCGTGTGAAAACAAACGAAAGACGAAACGAAAACAAACTCGGGCTGCGGCGACGGCTAGGGCCTGGGGGTCTAGCACATGTCGCGGTTCTGGGTTCGGCTCGAGCAAATCAAGACGAAAAACGAACTCGGCCTGCGGCTACGGGTGAGGGCTGGGCAAAGGCGGGGGGGGAGCTGCCGGTTGGGGCATGCGCTAAACAAAACGAGCAACAAACGAATACATGGAACGACGGCTGAGGCAAGGGCGAGGTTAGGGCTGGGGATTGAACCAGACGAAAGGGCAAAACAGAACAAACGAAAAACAAAACGAACAAAACAAAAACCAAGGCTGCAGCGAGGGCTACAGGGCCGAGGCTAGGGCGAGGGGCGAGGTCCCGTTTGAGGCGCTCGCGAAAACTAACGAAGAACGAAACGAAAAACCAGCTCGGGCTGCGGCGACGGCTAGGGCCTCGGGTTCCAGCGAGTGTCGAAATTCTGGGTTGGGCCTGAGCAAAGCAAAACGAGCAACGAACCGAAGAAAACAACAATAACAGGGGGGAAACAACGAAACGAGCAACGGGGGCCTCTGGCCCCTCTCTGGGGTGGCACGTGTCACCCGTGGGTGTGTTTCAGAATGGGGCCATACAGCGTGAAACGAGCCAGGGGTGAAACGCGTCACCCCGAAGACCGTGTGAGACACGCCAACTGTGCCACTTGTATGCAGGGAACCACCATGGAACCGTACATGGTGAAACGACACAAAAAGTGACACGTGTCACTCGGAAAACCGTGTGAGAAACCAGTCGTGTCACTCCTATTCTGGGAGCCAACATGTAATCATATGATGTGAAACGACACAAGGGTGACACGAGTCACCCCGAAAACCGTGCGAGGACCACCAATTGTTTCACTCGTATTCTGGGAGCCAACATGGATCCATACAATGTGAGCCAACACAAAGGGTGATACGTGTCACCCCGAAAACCTTGTGAGAAACACCATGTGTCTCACTCGCATTCTGGTCGCCAGCATTGGGCCCTACTAAGTGAACAACATGCGGGTGACGCGTGTCACTCCAAAAGCCATGTGAGAAAAAACAATTGTTTCTCTCGCGCACTGGACGCCAACACTCGACCATACAATGTGGAACACGCGGGTGACACGTGTCACTCCGAAAACCATGTGAGCAAACACCGACGCCAACATGTGGCCATACAATGTGAAACAACACACCAGTGACACCCCGAACATCGTCTGAGAAAATCCCATTGGTTCACACGCCTTCTGGTCGCCAACATGGGGCCATCCTGAATGAAACAACACCCGCGTGGCACGTGTGACCCCGAAAACCGTGTGAGGAAAAACAATGTTTCCACTCGTAGTCTGGACGCCATCATGGAACCATACAATGTCAAACAACACACGGGTGACACGTGTCACCCCAAAAGCCGTGTGAACAAAAACAATTCACGCGTATTGGGCCCCCAACATGGGGGCCCTACAATGTGAAACAACACACGGGTAACACGTGTCACCCCGAAAACCGTGTGAGACGAACACTTTGTTTCACTCATGTCCTGGACTCCAACATGGGGCCATACAATGAGAAACAAAACACGGGCGACACGTGTCACCCCGAAAACTGTGTGAGCAAAAACCAATTGCTTCACTCGTATTATGGGCGTCAACATGGGGTCATACAGTGTGAAGCAACGCGCGGGTGACCCGTGTCACCCCGAAAACCGTTTGAGAAAAAAACAGCTGTTTCAGTCAAATTCTGGACGCCAACATGGCGCCATACAATGTGAAAAAACGCACGGGTGACACGCGTCACCCCGAAAACCGTTTGAGAAAGAACAGCTGTTTCACTCGTATCCTGGTCGCCAAGATAGGGTCATACAATGTGCAGCAACACGCGGGTGACACGTGTTACCCCGAACACCGCGTGAGAAACACACATTAGTTCACTCGCATCCTGGACGCCAACATGGGGCCATACAATGTGAAATAACATTCGGGTGACACGTGTCACCCCGAAAACCGTGAGAGAAAAACCATATGTCTCAATCGTATTCTGGACGACAACATGGGTGACACATGTCACCCCGAAAACCGTGTGAGGAAAAACAGTTGTTTCACTCGTACTCTGGACACCAACATGGAGCCATACAATGTCAAACAACACACAAATGACACCTGTCCCCTCGAAAATCGTGAAAGAAAAACGCATTGTTTCACCCGCATGCTGGACGCCAACATTGGGCCACACCATGTGAAACAACACACGGGTGACACGTGCCACCCCGAAAACCGGGTGAGAAAACCAATTGTTGCACTCGCCTTCTGGACACAAACATGGTGCTATACAATGTGAAACAACACACGCGTGACACGTGTCACCCCGAAAACCGTGTGAAAAAAACAAATGGTTCATTCGTATTCAGGACGCCAACATGGGCCAAAACATGAGAAACAACGCGCGGGGGACACGTGTCACCCCGAACCCCTGCGTGAGCAAAACAAATTGTTTCACTCGTATTGCGGGCGCCAACATTGGTCCATACAGCGTGAAGCAACACACGGGTGACACGTGTCACCCCGAAAAAAACGCATGAGCAAAACCAATCACATCAATCACATCACCCTTGTTTGGGGCGCCAACATGGGGTCATACAATGTGACACGGCACCAGAGTGACACGTGTCACCCCGAAAACCGCTGGTGAAAAAAACAATTGTTTCACTCGTATTCTGGACGCCAGCACGGGGCCATACAATGTGAAACAACACACGGATGACACGTGTCACTCCGAAAACCGTGTGAAAACAACACGTTGTTTCACTCATGCTCGTATTCTGGGCGCCAAGCCAACATGGGGGCCATACAATGTGAAACAACACACGGGTGACACGTGCCACCCCGAAAACCGTGTGAGAAAAACCACTTGTTTCACTCATATCCAGAAGATCCAACATGGAGCCAAACATCGTGTGAAACAACACCGGTGACACGTGTCACCCCGAAAATCGTGCAAAAAGAACCACTTGTTTCACTTGTATTCCGGGCGCCAACATGGGGCCACACAGTGTGAAGCAACACACGGGTGACACGTGTTACCATGAAAACAACATGAACAAAACCAATCGTTTCACTCGTATTATGGACGCCAACATGGGGGCCATACAACGTGAAACAACACACGGGTGACACGTGTCACCCCGACAACAATGTGAGAGAAACCACTTGTTTCACTCGTGTTCTAAACGCCAACATGAGGCCATACAGCGTGAAACAACACACGGGTGACACGTGTCGTCTGGAACACCGTGTAAGAGAAGACAACTGTTTTACTCGTACGCTCAAAATTTATGCTAAGAAATCTTCCCGTAAGAAATTGGCATCCAGCTTCGCTGATTTTATTAGCCCTCTTGCGAAAGCCAGCGTTGAAGCGTGCAGTTTCTTCGCGCAGCGCGGCGCCAGTGGTGGTTTTGATAAAGATTGCGCTGGTGATGATGCCGATTGCGGGGCCGGGGGCTCTGCAGCCATGTATGAAACACAACGTGCAGAAACATGTGTGCAGAAACATGTGGAGAAAGATGTGGCGGGGGATCTGGACGAAGACCGGCGGGAAATCTGAAGTAAGATCTGGAGAATGATCTGGGGAAGATCTACAAAGGAGAAATCTCGCGGAAGACCTCGGTGAAGATCTGGGTGAAGATCTGGACGAACATTTGGAGAAGATCTGGGGGAAGATCTGGAGGACGATCTGGTGAAACATCTGGTGGAAGATCTGGGGGATATCTAGAGGAGCGATCTCGAGGAAGACCCGGGTGAAGATCTGGGTGAAGATCTAGGAAAAGATCTGAGTAAAGTTCTGGGGTTATATCTGGAGGAAGATCTGGAGAAAGATCTGGAGGAAAATCTAGAGGAGAGATCTCGGGGAAGATCAGGGTGGATATCTGGGGGGAGATGTTGAGAAGATTTGGGGGGAATTCTGGTGGAAGATTAGGGGAACAATCTGAGGAAGGGTCTGGAGGAGAGTTTCGGGGAAGATCTGGGTGAAGATCTGGGAAAGATCTGGAGGAGAGATCTCGAAGAAAATCTGGTGAAGATCTGGAGGAAGATCTGGAGAAGATGTTGGGGAAGATCTGGCGGAAAATCTGGAGAAACATCTGGTGGAGGATCTGGGGGAAAGATATTGGGAAAGATCTGGGCGAAGATCTGGGGCAAGATCTGGAGGAAGATCTGGACAAAGATATGGGAGCAAGTCTGGAGGAGAGATCTGTGGGAAAATCTGGAGGATAGATCTCGGGGAAAGTCTGTGTGAAGATCTGGGGGAAGATCTGGGTGAAGATCTGGGGCAATATCTGGAGGACGATCTGCAGCAAGGTCTGGGGGAAGATCTGGAGGGGAGATCTGGTGAAGATCTTGGTGAAGATCTGGGTGGAGATCCGGGGAAATATCTGAAAGAATCTATGAAGGAAGAACCGTGGAAATATCGGAAAATATCGTGAGGGAATATCTGGAGCAGGATTGGGCGGAACATCTGGAGGCAGCTCTGGGGAGAGATGTGGACGATGATCTGGAAGAAGATCTGGAAACCCAGAGAAAGATCCTGGGGGCGAAATGAGGAAGAAATGGAAGAAATCCAAAAAGAAGGTCAGGAGGAGCAAATGACGGAAGATCTGGGGGAAGATCTGAAGGAAGATATTAGGAAAGATCTGGAGGAGAAAGTCCGGGAAGAAATCTAGGACAACGTATCGAGGAAGATCTGGAGGAGGATCTTGTAAACAATTGGAACAATTGGAAGATCCGCGTTTCGCCCCCAGGCAAGAGAAGGGAGGAACAGGAGAGGAGGAAGAGGAGGAGAAGGATGAGGAGGAATAGGAAGGGAGACTGGAGGACGGAGAGGATCCTCGGAAAGATCTGGGGGGGGAGATCTGGTGGAAGATCGGAGCGTAGATCTGGAGGAAGATCTGGAGGAAAATCAGGGAGAACATCTGGGGAAGATCTAGGCAGATGAACTAGGAAGATCTAGAAGACGATCTGGAGGAAGATCTAGGGAAAATCTAGGAAGATCTGGGGTAGATCTGGGAGAAAATCAGGAGGACAATCTGGAGAAAATCTAAGAAGATCTGGGGAAGATCTGGAGGAAGATCCGGGAAACATCTGGAGGAAGATCCGGAGGAAGATCCGGGGAATATCTAGGAAGATCTGGGAAAGATCTGGAGGAAGATCGGGGGGGATATGTAGGGGAAGATCAAAAGGAAAGTCTCGAGGAAGAACTGGGAAACACTCCAGAAGATCTGAAGGAAGATCAGGAAGAAGATGCGAGCGTTCACAAAACTGGGCCAAGTTTTGGCAATTCGCTACCCAAATTGAGCAAATTTTGAGACCCAGCTTGGCGGGAGGGAGTTTTCTAACATCAGGTAGCAATGTATGGACGCCCAGATGGGGCCATACAGTGAGAAACAACACACGTGTGACATGTGTCACCCCGAAAACCACGTGAAACTACACAACTGTTTCACTCACATCCTGGTCGCCAACATTTGGTCATACAATGTGAAACAGCACACGGGTGACACGCGTCACCCCGAAAACCGTGAGATAAAAAACTGTTGCGCTCGTGCTCTGGACGCCACCATGGGGCCACACAGTGTGAAACAACACACGGGTGGCACGCGTCACCTCGAAAACCGTGCAAGAAAAAAACAGATTGTTTCAGTTGTACTCGGGGCGCCAACATGCGGCCACACAGTGTGAAACAACACGCGGGTGACACGTGCCACCCTGAAAACAGCGTGAACAAAACCAATCGTTTCATTCGTATTCCGGGCGCCAACATGTGGGCCATACAATGTGAAACAACAAACGGGTGAGACGTGCCACCCTCAAAGCAATGTGATGAAACGCAATTTTGCGACTCGTAATCTGGACACCAACATGGAGCCATACAGTGTGAAACATCACACGGGTGACACGTGTCACTCCGAACACCGTGTAAGAAAAAACCAACAACTTCACTCGTATCCTGGACTCCCATATGGGGCCATACAATGTGCAACAACACACGGGTGAGACGCGTCGCCCCGAAAACCGTGTGAGAAATACAACATTGTGTCAGTCATATTCTGGTCGCCCACATTTGGTCATACAGTGTGAAACAACACACAGGTGACACGTGCCACCCCGAAAACACGGTGAGAAAAACCACTTGTGTCATTCGTATTTGAGCGTCAACATGGGGCCACAAATGTAGAACAACACCCGGGTGGCACGCGCCACCCCGAAAATCGTGCTAGAACAAAAAACGGTGTCAATCGTAATCTGGGCGACAACATGGGGCCATACAGTGTGAAATAATACACGGGTGGCACGTGTCACCCCGAAACTGAGGATAGCACAACCCCCCCCACCCCCAGCGGGAGCACCCCAGGCGCCCCTTGAACACGCACGCACTGGGGGCACTCCATGGGAGCGACCAGGCGATAGCCAGGCGAACGCCTCAGGAAGGGGCGGCGGGGGGAGCGAAGCTCTCGAGATAATGCGCACGAAAGGGCAACTACACGATACCATGAACATAACACATCGAACCAAACACAACCTTGAAACGGGTTTCGGTTACCATGTCAGTTGGAGGGCACACCCCCGAATCGAGGCGCACACCCGCCTTCCCTGAAGCGCAGCGCTGGGCGAACTGAGAGGACAGGGCAATCGACCGCACTGGAATGAGCGAGCAGGTGGGAACGAGCAGGCACTGACAGCCACGGCCACTGCCAGAGAGACGTTGTTTTTCAGCAGCTCGAAGGGCGCGCACGCGCCCGAGTGATGTACACGTGAACTCCAAGCGCACAAACACAAAGCTGCGCGAAGCGCCGACGCGGCATCGCCAGAACGTGCATGTCCCAAGAATGTTGTGCAGTTTAGTTCCTCCTCCTCCCCCGTCCTCCTGGGAGCCCCGCCCACGGGGCAATCATGCACGAGGGCGTCTTGCCTTCGCATCCCCCCCCGCTCCGCGGCGAAAAAAGAGGCCGTGCACCTGGACTTAAAAGAGCCCCCATGATGGGGCAGCTGCTGATGTCCAAGGTCTGATCGCGGAGCCAGGTGGACCACGCACGCTTCAGCACAGCGAGAAAGGCCTGGTAGCTGGAGCCACCGTGCTTGCCCCAAGGCTCGCTGCCCCGAGCGTGGCCCTTCACGTGAAAATGCCAACCCCCTCGCACGTTGCTGCGCCAAATGCTGACGCTGGGGGGCATCAGCCGATTGGCGACCTCTTGAGTGAGGTCGTCCTCTGGCTTCGGGGGCGGCGGGTACACGCACTTGTACAAGGGGTGCTTGGGGTTCTTCAGGCTGGCAGGCATCTTCCCCCTCGTCTGAACCTGGCCAGGGACAAACATCGACTCGAATGCGAATCCAATGGGTCCATCGTGAATCCGTAGCGGGTCGAGCGGCCAAGAGATCCGACAAAGCCAGATCGAATCGAGTCGGGCTCGCAGTCATCGAACCGCTCTCTGATCCAAAAAGGTTCGCTGAACTCGAAAGGAGTCGAACTCGTCGTAGTCGTCGTCGTCGTCGTCGTCGTCGATGTCGGAACCTTGAACTGGATCACGCTGCGATGGAAGTCGTCCCTGTTCTGCACGGCCTCCTTGGCGTAGTGGACCTGCTTGAGCAGCTCCTCCCCCGTCGGCTTGTCGCAGAGGTCGACAACCCAGTCGAGA